TCATGTCTCTTCTACATCAAACATGTGTCCCCTCTTCTCATGTCTCTTCTACATCAACATGTGTCCCCCCTTCTTCATGTCTCTTCTACATCAACATGTCCCCTTTCTCATGTCTCTTCTACATCAACATGTGTCCCCTCTTCTTCATGTCTCTTCTACACAACATGTGTCCTGTCCCCTCTTCTTCATGTCTCTCTACATCAACATGTGTCCCCTCTTCTTCATGTCTTCTACATCAACATGTGTCCCCTCTTCTCATGTATCTTCTACATCAACATGTGTCCCCTCTTCTTCATGTCTCCTACATCAACATGTGTCCCCTCTTCTTCATGTCTCTTCTACATCAACATGTGTCCCTCTTCTTCATGTCTCTCCTACATCAACATGTGTCCCCTCTTCTTCATGTCTCTTCTACATCAACATGTGTCCCCTCTTCTTCGTGTCTCTTCTACATCAACATGTGTCCCCTCTTCTTCGTGTCTCTTCACATCAACATGTGTCCCCTCTTCTTCGTCTCTTCTACATCAACATGTGTCCCCTCTTCTTCGTCTCTTCTACATCAACATGTGTCCCCTCTTCTTCACGTCTCTTCTACATCAACATGTGTCCCCTCTTCTTCGTCTCTTCTCATCAACATGTGTCCCCTCTTCTTCACGTCTCTTCTACATCAACATGTGTCCCCCTCTTCTTCACGTCTCTTCTACATCAACATGTTCCCCTCTTCTTCACGTCTCTTCTACATCAACATGTTCCCCTCTCTCTTCACGTCTCTTCTACATCAACATGTGTCCCCTCTTCTTCATGTCTCTTCTACATCAACATGTGTCCCCTCTTCTCATGTCTCTTCTACATCAACATGTGTCCCTCTTCTTCATGTCTCTTCTACATCAACATGTGTCCCCTCTCTTCTTCATGTCTCTTCTACATCAACATGTGTCCCCTCTTCTTCCATGTCTCTTCTACATCAACATGTGTCCCTCTTCTTCATGTCTTCTACATCAACATGTGTCCCCCTCTTCTTCATGTCTCTTCTACAATCAACATGTGTCACCCTCTTCTTCATGTCTCTTCTACAATCAACATGTGTCCCCTCTTCTTCATGTCTCTTTCTACATCAAACATGTGTCCCCTCTTCTTCACGTCTCTTCTACATCAACATGTGTCCCTCTTCTTACGTCTCTTCCTACATCACATGTGGTCCCCTCTTCTTCACGTCTCTTCTACATCAACATGTGTCCCCTCTTCTTCACGTCTCTTCTACATCAAACATGTGTCCCCTCTTCTTCACGTCTCTTCTACATTCAACATGGTCCCCCTTCTTCTTCACGTCTCTTTCTACAATCAACATGTGTCCCCTCTTCTTCATGTCTCTTCTACATCAACATGTGTCCCCTCTTCTTCATGTCCTCTTCATACATTTTTTTCAAAAACATGTTGTCCCCTCTTCTTCACGTCTCTTTCTACATCAACATGTGTCCCCTCTCTTCACGTCTCTTCTACATCAACAGTGTCCCCTCTTCTTCACGTCTCTTCTACATCAACATGTGTCCCCTCTTCTTACCGTCTCTTCTACCATCAACATGTGTCCCCCTCTTCTTCACGTCTCTTCTACATCAACATGTGTCCCCTCTTCTTCATGTCTCTTCTACATCAACATGTGTCCCCTCTTCTTCATGTCTCTTCTACATCAACATGTGTCCCCTATTCTCCATGTCTCTTCTACATCAACATGTGTCCCCTCTTCTTCATGCTCTTCTACATCAACATGTGTCCCCTCTTCTTCACGTCTCTCTACATCAACATGTGTCCCCTCTTCTTCACGTCTCTTCTACATCAACATGTGTCCCCTCTTCTTCACGTCTCTTCTACATCAAACATGTGTCCCCTCTTCTTCATGTCTCTTCTCATCAACATGTGTTCCCTCTTCTTTCCCTCTTCTTCACGTCTCTTCTACATCAACATGTGTCCCCTCTTCTTCACGTCTCTTCTACATCAACATGTGTCCCCTCTTCTTCTCTCTTCTACTCAACATGTGTCCCCTCTTCTTCTTCTCTCTCTACATCAACATGTGTCCCCTCTTCTTCACGTCTCTTCTACATCACATGTGTCCCCTCTTCTTCATGTCTCTCTTCTACATCAACATGGTGTCCCCTATTCTCCATGTCTCTTCTACATCAACATGTGTCCCCTCTTCTTCATGTCTCTTCTACATCAACATGTGTCCCCTCTTCTTCACGTCTCTTCTACATCAACATGTGTCCCCCTCTCTTCACGTCTCTTCTACATCAACATGTGTCCCCTCTTCTTCACGTCTCTTCTACATCAACATGTGTCCCCTCTTCTTCACGTCTCTTCTACATCAACATGTGTCCCCTCTTCTTCACGTCTCTTCTACATCAACATGTGTCCCCTCTTCTTCATGTCTCTTCTACATCAACATGTGTCCCCTCTTCTTCATGTCTCTTCTACATCAACATGTGTCCCCTATTCTCCATGTCTCTTCTACATCAACATGTGTCCCCTCTTCTTCATGCCTCTTCTACATCAACATGTGTCCTCTCTTCTTCATGTCTCTTCTACATCAACATGTGTCCCCTCTTCTTCATGTCTCCTCTACATCAACATGTGTCCCCTCTTTTCCTGTTTTTCTAAAGGTCTTCACTCTCTTCACATCAACATGTGTCCCCCTCTTCTTCACGTCTCTTCTACATCAACATTGTGTCCCCTCTTCTTCACGTCTCTTCTACATCAACATGGTGATCCCCTCTTCTTCATGTTCTTCTACATCAACATGTGTTCCCCTCTTCTTCACGTCTCTTCTACATCAACATGTGTCCCCTCTTCTTCACGTCTCTTCTACATCAACATGTGTCCCCTCTTCTTCATGTCCTTCTACATCAACATGTGTCCCCTCTTCTTCATGTCTCTTCTACATCAACAATGGTCCCTTCTTCTTCAGCTCTCTTCTACATCAACATGTGGTCCCTCTGCTTCATAGCCTCTTCTACATCAACATGTGTCACCCTCTTCTTCATGTCTCTTCTACATCAACATGTGTCCCCCTCTTCTTCAGTCTCTTCTACATCAAACATGTGTCCCCTCTTCTTCATGTCTCTTCTACATCAACATGTGTCCCCCTTCTTCATGTCTCTTCTACATCAAATGTGTCCCCCTATTCTTCATGTCTCTTCTACATCAACATGTGTCCCCTCTTCTTCATGTCTCTTCTACATCAACATGTGTCCCCTCTTCTTCATGTCTCTTCTACATCAACATGTGTCCCCTCTTCTTCATGTCTCTTCTACATCAACATGTGTCCCCTCTTCTTCATGTCTCTTCTACATCAACATGTGTCCTCTTCTTCATGTCTCTTCTACATCAACATGTGTCCCCTCTTCTTCATGCCTCTTCTACATCAACATGTGTCCCCTCTTCTTCATGTCTCTTCTACATCAACATGTGTCCCCTCTTCTTCACGTCTCTTCTACATCAACATGTGTCCCCTCTTCTTCGTGTCTCTTCTACATCAACATGTGTCCCCTCTTCTTCATGTCTCTTCTACATCAACATGTGTCCCCTCTTCTTCATGTCTCTTCTTCATCAACATGTGTCCCCTCTTCTTCATGTCTCTTCTACATCAAACATGTGTCCCCTCTTCTTCATGTCCTCTTCTTCATCAACATGTGTCCCCTCTTCTTCATGTCTCTTCTACATCAACATGTGTCCCCTCTTCTTCATGTCTCTTCTACATCAACATGTGTCCCCTCTTCTTCAGTCTCTTCTACATCAACATGTGTCCCCTCTTCTTCATGTCTCTTCTACATCAACATGTGTCCCCTCTTCTTCATGTCTCTTCTACATCAACATGTGTCCCCTCTTCTTCACGTCTCTTCTACATCAACATGTGTCCCCTCTTCTTCATGTCTCTACTACATCAACATGTGTCCCCTCTTCTTCATGTCTCTTCCACATCAACATGTGTCCCCTCTTCTTCATGTCTCTTCTACATCAACATGTGTCCCCTCTGTGGAAAGAGACTCTGAGAGTTTCAGGAACAAAGATTCTCTCTCTTTTTGATCCATTTCTATAAAAACCTGTCTGAAAATGAGCTGATCAGATTTTGGCCACTTGATGATGTCATAACAATGTTTTGTCTTGTGTAACCATTAGCCAATCAGCAACCAAGGTAACCCCCCCCCCCCCCCCCTTATCACCTGAATCTCCTCTAGAGCACCATTGAGTTCTTTGTAACCAAATCTCTCTCAGAGGGGCGTGGGGAGGGGCTCCTTATTTTCATCTAAAGTAACAGGCAGAGAATCAGCACTTTGGAAACAGGGCTGAAACAGAGGGGATTATGGGTAATGCTGCAATGATCTGTTTGGTGTTTCAGCCAATCAGAGACAGGCTCTGTATATATCTGAGACCTGTGATATATTGATGAATAACAGTATATACTGTAGGGACCTTTAACTCTATCTGAAGCCCTTCTTCTCATCTCACTGACCTGTAGCAGGATCAGATCCTTCTCCTCCAGCTTGGCCTCGTAGTTCTGCTTCAGCTCCTCCACAGTGTGCACTCTTCCCTCCTCCACGTCCTTCAGCTGCTTCTCAAAGTCCTCCTGCATCCTCTCGCTTTCACGCTGAAGATCCTGGAACCTCTCATGCTCCGTGATCAGCTTCTGGCTGTAGGACTCCTCTGTGTGTGTGTGTGTGTGTGTGTGTGTGTGTGTGTGTGTGTGTGTGTGTGTGTGTGTGTGTGTGTGTGTGTGTGTGTGTGCGAGAGTGATGAAGAAACACATATGTATTGATTCTTGTAATAATAATAAACTTTTTGGTATAGCACCAGTGGTACCGTGAGAATCGAAAGTTAAACCCAAATATAGGTTTTTATTTATTTACTTTTAAACATATCCTCGTCTTACCTAAAGCCTCCAGCTCCTCAGAGTGCTTCTCAGAGATCTCTGCAGTGCTCATCTGGTTCTCACGCTGCTGCTTCTCCATCTCGGTCTTCATGGCCTGTAGGCACAGAACGTGTCATTCAGAAACAATAAAAGCCTTTCATTAATACATTGTTTAGATAGTAATGATGTAATGTTGATAATCATGGTCAATAGGCAAACAATACAGGCAGAAAACATGATCTTCTTATTTATATTTGTACTAACCAGGGCTCAACATTATAAATGTCCCGCTGGCCCGGAAGTCCTATTTAGACACCCCGGGCCTGCGGGCCAGCATAACGTACTTTCCACTTGCCTGCTTGGGCCACTAAAAATGTTGCTTTAAAAAAAATCACATTGTCCTTTGTATTGGTATTTTGACTAGCATTTAGTTAAATTGTTTCGTTTATTAATGCTACAACATAGCGTTTCGTGAGGTGGTTGTTGTTGTTGTTGTTGGGTGAAAAGCAAACAGCTGTTTGCTGCGGAGCGCAGCGCGTGCAGTCTCCCGCGCTCCTTCACTACAGACTTTCGCGACACCTAACCATTCGCCAAAATGTTTTAAAACCACCGGCGGTAACCGGCCAAGCGCCGGGCAAAAAACAATCTTCAAATAAAAGAAAGTCACCGGAGGAGTTACAGGAGAGTGACAGGGAGTATGAGAAGAAGTTTCAGCCACACTGGCTAGATCGATGGAGTTGGCTTCAATATGATGATATAAACAAGGTCTTTTGTCAGCTCTGTACTTCCTATGCTGACAAGTAAGTGAAGAGTAGAACATATAAAGGTCTTCGCTATAGGGACATGTCCCAGCAGTTTAGGAGAATGAAGGTTATAATCTAATCTATTACATAGCCATTACATTTCTAACTCCTGATAATGACACGAAGGCAGAAAGAGCATTATACTAATAATAATACTCATAGCAGAAATGTCACCCTCCTTTTTTCTTTTAACAATGACCACAATATAATAATTGTAATAAACCAAATATGAACAATTGAGGAAAATGAGGAAGAACTGATGATTCAAATGTTGTAGTACAAGTAGTAATGTAGTTCGTGCATACATTACTATAGCAACAAATGTGTTCATTTTCTTCATTATTAGTCGATCTTTAGGACGAATGCTCCGGGCCAGTGGCTACATGGTGGGGCCGGTGAGAATGAAAATCTACTGGCCTGGTACCTTTAATGTCTACCCCTGCTAACTGATCTGCTTTTATTTACTTATTGTTATTCATATTATTTCTTGTCACTGTGTTTTAATTGTATAGATCTGAACGTGGAACCAATGTGTTTGATTTTGTATTAAACTGGGTGGGTTGAAAATGGATGAAGATCAGTGTCTCAATTGTGACCCGGTATGATTCTGCTTGTTCTTCAATCAAAAAACATAACAAACAAAATAGAAAACATGATGTTATGAACTGGTCCATTTTAAGAGCTGCAGCTGTTAATAGGATTACATACGTTTATGCCAACCCAGTCTCACGGCATTTCGTGTTATAGTCACGAAATTAATGTGATTTATTGATTCGTGTTCACCAACACGATTCCCCCCTTTTCGTCACGTGGATGAAATGGACAGATAAAAAAAAGTAGTGGAGTAAAGTACTGATACCAGAAAAATGAACTTAAGTACAGTAACAAAGTATTTGTACTCCACTACTTCCCACCTCTGGTCTTAAACACATTGTTGGTTTCTGGAAGACAGGTCTTCAGAGAGTCTGACCTGTTGCATGGTCTACAGAGAGTCTGACCTGTTGCATGGTCTACAGAGAGTCTAACCTGTTGCATGGTCTACAGAGAGTCTGACCTGTTGCATGGTCTACAGAGAGTCTAACCTGTTGCATGGTCTACAGAGAGTCTAACCTGTTGCATGGTCTACAGAGAGAGAGTCTGACCTGTTGCATGGTCTTCAGAGAGAGAGTCTAACCTGTTGCATGGTCTACAGAGAGAGAGTCTGACCTGTTGCATGGTCTACAGAGAGAGAGTCTGACCTGTTGCATGGTCTTCAGAGAGAGAGTCTGACCTGTTGCATGGTCTACAGAGAGAGAGTCTAACCTGTTGCATGGTCTACAGAGAGAGAGTCTGACCTGTTGCATGGTCTACAGAGAGAGAGTCTGACCTGTTACATGGTCTACAGAGAGAGAGTCTAACCTGTTACATGGTCTACAGAGAGTCTGACCTGTTGCATGGTCTACAGAGAGAGAGTCTGACCTGTTGCATGGTCTACAGAGAGAGAGTCTGACCTGTTGCATGGTCTTCAGAGAGTCTGACCTGTTGCATGGTCTTCAGAGAGTCTGGCCTGTTGCATGGTCTACAGAGAGTCTGGCCTGTTGCATGGTCTACAGAGAGTCTGACCTGTTGCATGGTCTACAGAGAGAGAGTCTGACCTGTTGCATGGTCTTCAGAGAGTCTGACCTGTTGCATGGTCTTCAGAGAGTCTGGCCTGTTGCATGGTCTACAGAGAGTCTGACCTGTTGCATGGTCTTCAGAGAGTCTGACCTGTTGCATGGTCTTCAGAGAGTCTGGCCTGTTGCATGGTCTACAGAGAGAGAGTCTGACCTGTTGCACGGTCTACAGAGAGTCTGACCTGTTGCATGGTCTACAGAGAGTCTGGCCTGTTGCATGGTCTACAGAGAGAGAGTCTGACCTGTTGCACGGTCTACAGAGAGTCTGGCCTGTTGCATGGTCTACAGAGAGAGAGTCTGACCTGTTGCACGGTCTACAGAGAGTCTGACCTGTTGCATGGTCTACAGAGAGAGAGTCTGACCTGTTGCACGGTCTACAGAGAGTCTGGCCTGTTGCATGGTCTACAGAGAGTCTGGCCTGTTGCATGGTCTACAGAGAGTCTGACCTGTTGCATGGTCTACAGAGAGTCTGGCCTGTTGCATGGTCTACAGAGAGTCTGGCCTGTTGCATGGTCTACAGAGAGTCTGGCCTGTTGCATGGTCTACAGAGAGAGAGTCTGGCCTGTTGCATGGTCTACAGAGAGTCTGGCCTGTTGCATGGTCTTCAGAGAGTCTGACCTGTTGCATGGTCTACAGAGAGAGAGTCTGGCCTGTTGCACGGTCTTCAGAGAGTCTGACCTGTTGCATGGTCTTCAGAGAGAGAGTCTGACCTGTTGCACGGTCTTCAGAGAGTCTGACCTGTTGCATGGTCTACAGAGAGAGAGAGTCTGACCTGTTGCATGGTCTATAGAGAGAGAGAGTCTGACCTGTTGCATGGTCTTCAGAGAGAGAGTCTGACCTGTTGCACGGTCTACAGAGAGAGAGTCTGACCTGTTGCATGGTCTACAGAGAGAGAGAGTCTGACCTGTTGCATGGTCTATAGAGAGAGAGTCTAACCTGTTGCATGGTCTACAGAGAGAGAGTCTAACCTGTTGCATGGTCTATAGAGAGAGAGAGTCTGACCTGTTGCATGGTCTACAGAGAGAGAGTCTAACCTGTTGCATGGTCTACAGAGAGAGAGTCTAACCTGTTGCATGGTCTATAGAGAGAGAGAGTCTGACCTGTTGCATGGTCTACAGAGAGAGAGTCTAACCTGTTGCATGGTCTACAGAGAGAGAGTCTAACCTGTTGCATGGTCTACAGAGAGAGAGTCTGACCTGTTGCATGGTCTATAGAGAGAGAGAGTCTAACCTGTTGCATGGTCTTCAGAGAGAGAGTCTAACCTGTTGCATGGTCTACAGAGAGAGAGTCTGACCTGTTGCATGGTCTACAGAGAGAGAGTCTGACCTGTTGCATGGTCTACAGAGAGAGAGTCTAACCTGTTGCATGGTCTACAGAGAGAGAGTCTAACCTGTTGCATGGTCTACAGAGAGAGAGTCTGACCTGTTGCATGGTCTACAGAGAGAGAGTCTGACCTGTTGCATGGTCTACAGAGAGAGAGTCTGACCTGTTGCATGGTCTATAGAGAGAGAGTCTGACCTGTTGCATGGTCTACAGAGAGAGAGTCTAACCTGTTGCATGGTCTACAGAGAGAGAGTCTAACCTGTTGCATGGTCTTCAGAGAGAGAGTCTAACCTGTTGCATGGTCTTCAGAGAGAGAGTCTAACCTGTTGCATGGTCTACAGAGAGAGAGTCTGACCTGTTGCATGGTCTACAGAGAGAGAGTCTAACCTGTTGCACGGTCTACAGAGAGAGAGTCTGACCTGTTGCATGGTCTTCAGAGAGAGAGTCTAACCTGTTGCATGGTCTACAGAGAGAGAGTCTGACCTGTTGCATGGTCTACAGAGAGAGAGTCTGACCTGTTGCATGGTCTACAGAGAGAGAGTCTAACCTGTTGCATGGTCTACAGAGAGAGAGTTCTAACCTGTTGCATGGTCTACAGAGAGAGAGTCTGACCTGTTGCATGGTCTACAGAGAGAGAGTCTAACCTGTTGCATGGTCTACAGAGAGAGAGTCTGACCTGTTGCATGGTCTACAGAGAGAGAGTCTAACCTGTTGCATGGTCTTCAGAGAGAGAGTCTGACCTGTTGCATGGTCTACAGAGAGAGAGTCTGACCTGTTACATGGTCTACAGAGAGAGAGTCTAACCTGTTGCATGGTCTTCAGAGAGAGAGTCTGACCTGTTGCATGGTCTACAGAGAGAGAGTCTGACCTGTTACATGGTCTACAGAGAGAGAGTCTGACCTGTTGCATGGTCTACAGAGAGAGAGTCTAACCTGTTGCATGGTCTACAGAGGAGGTAAGTAGTCTAAACTGTTGCATGGTCTACAGAGAGAGAGTCTGACCTGTTGCATGGTCTACAGAGAGAGAGTCTGACCTGTTGCATGGTCTACAGAGAGAGAGTCTAACCTGTTGCATGGTCTACAGAGAGAGAGTCTAAGCTGTTGCATGGTCTACAGAGAGAGAGTTTGACCTGTTGCATGGTCTACAGAGAGAGAGTCTAAGCTGTTGCATGGTCTACAGAGAGAGAGTCTAAGCTGTTGCATGGTCTACAGAGAGAGAGTTTGACCTGTTGCATGGTCTACAGAGAGAAGAGTCTGACCTGTTGCATGGTCTACAGAGAGGAGTCTGACCGGTTGCATGGTCTACAGAGAGAGAGTCTAACCTGTTGCATGGTCTAC